ATGATGACCAAGATATCCTCCCAGAGCATACATTCCAGGGACTGAGAACCCCACCCACACCCCCCAAAAATGAGTACATAAATGAGTAGGAAGAAAATCAAGCCTTGAGGCTAAGGCAACAACCCCCACCCACCAAATCTACCAGGAAGGATAAGCTTGCTGGGGGCTTTTTGTGTTTCTCTTAAGGAAATAGTCTGTAGTGTAATTCAGAGAGGAAACTCTTTTAAGATTTTTTTTAAAGATTTATTTATTTATGTAACAAGAACTGGGGTACAGGCCAGATGGGGGGGGGTGAGAGGATTCACCAGAGACAGTGGGGAACAGGTGGATTGACTGAAGTACACTGCTGTGAAGTACACTGCTGAGGGGAGCAGTGGGCGAGACAGGAGAGGTCTGCTGCGCCATGTGGGTATCTCTCTGGCCACCCGGGGATCGAACTCGTGCTGCAGAGGCTGCAGACAGCTCCATAGTTTCAGGGAGGCCTGAAACTCCTAAGATTTGATGGAAAAAGACAGCGTGTGATGCAAACCATGACCGTGTTGAAGACGGGCATGGTCTGTGGAGGGCCATAATTCTGGAGCTTCTTAGTATGAGGGGACTCTTGTTCTAAGTCTGAGATTCCTCCTTTCCTGTACAGATAGAAACAAGAAGCTGGTAAGAGAGTAGGGAGGGAGGGAGCACTGGGTAGAGCTGGCTGAGGTTTCTGGCCCTGCACTAAGACTACTGATAGTGAAGCTTAAACTTGATAAGAGGAGCTGAACCAGAGAGTTTGAGAGCAAGCTGATATCAAGTCCAGATATCCCTGGGGAGACAGAGCTAGGTGGGAGGCCCTTTTGAATCCTGATGACTGTAAGGAGCTCTCTCAAGAGAAGAGAGGCTGCAAGAAAGACTGGCCCTGCAGATGGGGTTTTTAGTCCTCAGACTCCACTAGAGAAATCCCTCCACTGCCATGTCTTTACCTGACAACGCCCAAAGTGAGGTCCCCAGACCTGAAGTTGTTACAAATACAAAAGCTTGTTATTTACCTCAGACCTCATGAATCACAAATTTTACTAAGACTGGGACCAGTCACCTCTGCTGTCACAACAAGCCTCTAGGTGATGCTGATGCCAGTTCAAATTTGGCCTAAACAAAGCAGAAAAATATTGTTCCTAAGTGAAGGTCAGGTGTCCCCCAGGTGCAGAGTTATTGTTAAATTTGAAGAACCAGCATTTGAATCGGAAAGCAAAAGATTTGCCGAGCTCACAGAGCCATTCCAAACAGCAGTGTTTCTTAAATGTGGATGGAATGGGAACAAGGCGGGGGTGGGGTGAGCAAGAATTCCAGGAAGGTAAAAAGACACCAGATGCAGATGTGAGAAAATGACTCCCTGCTTGGTGGGGGGCACCAAGAAAATATCACCTGGAATAGTGTAAGAGCTTTCACCATGTGGAAAGGTGAAATGTTGGTGCTATGTTAACGTGTCCTAATGAGCAGGTTACCTGTCCTGTCTCTCTCCTGTCTCGATTTCATTTAAAACTGCCCTCTCCTAGCATGAAGACTGGGTCAATAGCCACAGACTTACTGGGATGAGAGATTTCTCTGTGGCATTCATAATGAAAAATGGTCTCTGCTTTCTGGGCTAGCTGCTTCTCCATCATTCTAATGACTTGCCCTTCGCTTTATTCTGGGTTGGATTAATTCCCAGAAAATGGAGTCATTTTCCTGATGAAAACTCTCAGCACTGATTGGAAGAAGAACGAGAAGGGGGCTTGCAGGGGGCTGCCCTTTTTGTCGAGGTGCAATTTGGAAACCCATCAACTCAAAGGTATCCTGGAGACACATTTTTCTTTTTTCCTTGCCTGATTTTCATCCTGAATTTGATATCTGGGCCCCATTTTTTTTATCTGCTTGCCTTTCCCCTTTAGTAAGTATCCGTTGACATACCGTAACAAAATACCTACTGTGTGCACGTTAGATGGCTTCACAAACCCACATTTTCATCCTATCTCCTGCAACCTTTGAAAATTATTAAACTGTGAAATATGCCTCTCTTCACCCACTTGTCACTCTTTTTCTGGCTTTGGTTTTGCCTCTTTATATTGCTCTTCAAAGAAAAAAAACCCTGAGATTTCCCATATTTTTAGCTATTTGTATAAAAGCAGATAATTCTTAGAAGCCAAAGAGAACACAGGAATATCCTTTCGTGGTGGGGTTCAACCTTGATCTGTGACTCTTGTGGGTTTTCTGTAGTTACTTTTCTATTGAATAACGGACAAGGGTGGTCATGAATTATACAAATAACAGTGATCCCTTCCACTCTTGATGGGGCTACTCAGCAGGGGCAGAATCAACCTCTTATGGCTCAGGGCAGATGCATTGTATGCTCAGGTTCTTGCAAATGTACATTGTTGCCACCAGGACGCTGGTCAACTGCCTTCCACCAAGGCAACTGAGTCAGGGACAGTCAAAACGGTACCCCTTGAGCCTGAGACAGCAGAGCGGAGTATGGACTGAGAACACAAAGGGACTACTGACTCTCACCAAAAAAACAGAGTGTAAAACCGCCCATTGTATTGGCATTAAATCTTGAGTGAAATGGGTCCTCACAACCTATGTCAAAGGGAACTGGAGATCACAGTCTCTTTAATGGATATTTTCAGATTTCAAAATTGAGGAAGCAGAAAACCTGTATCTACTAATACAACCTCTTTTCAAAATTGCAGCGATCATGTCATAAAGGAACCTCTAAGAGGTAAGTAATGAGCATTAATCTTATAGATAGAGAATCTAGGCTAGGAAGATGCGTGATTTGTCATCAAGATGCACCTGGCCTCTAATCTATTCATCTTAGTCTGCAAATTCTTTTCTGTCTCTACTGGTATTTCTCTTTAAGGAAGCAACTCCATATTTTTCCTTCTTTGGGTCCTCAGGAATTCATTTCTGGATGTAGGCTATAAGGCTGTCCTGGCTGGGAATGGAGACTCTGGTGTCTGTCTCTCTGGTTGGAACCTCTCCTCTGCTTTGCAGCTGTGTGACCTTGGCAAGTGGTTTGCCCTTTCTGAGCCTCAGTAGCCACGCAAGAGTTATGGGATCACATGAGCTAAAGTATATAAAAGAACTCAGTACAGTGCTGGGCCCCAAGGCCCAATAAATTAGATATGATTTATATTTTTATATAAATGTACATTATATATAAATCTAAATCATATTATATAATATAAACATAAATACAAATATAAATCATATTAGAAATGATTTATATAATTCAAGGGAGATTAGCTAGATTTGTTTCACCGGTTTTTCTTTTTCTGCTCAATCTCATCAGGAGAGTTTTGAGTTTGGGTTTTTTCTTTTTTCCCCCTCCCCATCTCTTTTCATTTCTCTCTGCAACCCAGGAAAAGGTGGTGATGAAACAACCATTTGAAATGAAGTTGCTTTGTGTTGATCCTTTGGGAAAAGGCTTTGATCGCCAGCAATGCTCTGGGTGTTTGGCAGGCTGCCAGCTTCTGCCCACAGGAAGAGCCACCTCTGAACGCTTGGATATTTAAAAAAAAAGCAGCAGCAGCAAAAGGGAAGCTTGTGGATTCCTCGAGGGTGTGTATAAATGACACCTTTGCTGACCCCCGATATCCCCAGTGCATCCCTCTTTCCAGGGCCTCAAGTGGCCGGCTCTCCAGGTTTCCAGCCTTCTTGTTTCTCTGGGCTGAGTTGGCAGGGAGCACGTAGCGCCGTGCCCTAGCATGCCGGGGCTTGCCAGCACGGTGCTCCTCTCTGGCCTCATTAGAGTCAGCAGTCTCCCTCCTGCAGCGGAGAACTGAGGACGAGAGGGCCTCTGCTCCAGCAAAGCAGCAGTGGGCCTGAAGAGGGGACAGGAGGACAGGGCCTCCTCCAAGGAGCCAGGCCCAGGAACATTATGTAAATGATTTCTTGGAATTGCCTACCTGGCTGGGGAAGGCTGGAAGATCACCTTGCAAGTGGGCCCCTAGCCAGCACCACAGATGGCCGTGCTGCTCACAGTACAGCCTACATCCGGCCTGTCAAGTTGTTCCCTGAAGACTGTGGCCCAGTCTGGAGAGCAAAGAGGCTTTCTGGGCAAGGGCTCGGCTGCCACTTGGGTTCCTCAGCTCCACCTGTCCGCTTCGCCCCAACCTGCAGCTCCCACTCTCCAGGGGAAAAGACCAGCCCTCTCTTTCCCTTGAAAGCAAATCCCTGGACCTCAGGATTTCTGGCTGATGTCTGGCCTAGACTCTACATGATAGCCCTTCACAGAAGTGGCTAAAGCTTACATCAAATGAACCAACTACTGCCGAGTTAAAAGGGCTAATAAAATACAAAGCATACTTGGGGACTTTGTTCAAAAAACCCTGTAACTTCTACAGTATATTAAGAAAATATTGAACTTTTAAATTTTATGATTTCAGGTCCTCTAAGACCACAGACCTCTTATGTTCTTTCTTTTTTTAAAGATGAATCCTTTTTATAATAGCTAGAAAGTAAATGTGTAACGGTTTTTTCTCCTATACACTTAGAAAAAAGCCGGAGGAAATGTAATGTTTCTGGATTCAGCCTGTGGATTTGAGATAAGGATTCAGGAGAGAAGCCTTTTAACTCAGAACAGAATCTGTTTGCAGCTGTTGTTCAATTAATGTAAAGGATCTGGTTGCTGGGCATATTGCATAATGCATGACAGTGTAAACCAAACGCTTTTAGTGCTGACACTGAACTCCTTGATAACAATGAAGAGGTAATTTGTACATTTTTTTAGAAGCTCCCTGAAACAATGCTTCTCAAGACTGAGTGAATCAACACCTCAGAGCAAGATGCAGCCCAGCGTGGTCTGCGTGTGTTCAAGAGGATAAGAAATCTAGGAGGAAACAGGAAAAGCCACATGTCCTGTCCTCTTTAAGAGCTAGAAAGCTGTCAGAAGAATTAAGATTAAACCTCCTGAGAATCTGTGGGTGTGGAAAGTCATCAGCTAGCTAATATTAACATAGCTTGCAACAGAACACTGTTGCTAGAAATAGGACAGTCACATCACTACTACTAAAGCAATTTGCATTCTGTGGACCAGCCCCAAAATACCTCCTGGCTTCTACTGCCCTTCGGGCATTGCATTTCTGGAGGCTTTTGGACCGTGCTCATACTTGGCGGTCTGGTCTCACCAAAAACTCTACTCAAAACAGGAAGCAGGAAGAAGAAGATCTTTGTTTGCAGAAGAGTAGTCGTGCTACAAGCAAATCTAATCATTCGGGAACTGTGAAGCTTCTAGATTTCACTTGGTTGCTGAAGGGAGGGGCAGACAAGGCCGTTCTGCTTTCCGCACCATGGATAATCTGTTGCCTCAGTCTAGATTCACTTATTTCAAAAAATATCCTCTCCATGCTATTAGGAAATATTTATCGATGCTGAGAAGCCAAAGAGCCGAAGAACAGGTATCATTTTGTTTGTGCTGTCTTAAGGTTAATGGATATTTGCTTTTGGGTGTTGCTCTGCAGTCACTTGGTGAGCTCTTCTCTGCTAGTTGACATGTTTATAGGCACCGGTCGCTCTTGCTTGCAGCTGTTCAGACTTAGCAATCAGGAACAAGCAGGCATGTAAGAATTTATTTGAATTCTGTGATTAAGCTGAAGTTCTATAATAAAACCATGTGCTTTTATTTCTTCTGAATAGCTAACCTGCTCTATCCGCATTCAAATGTGGATTCCTTGACCATTTTTCAGTGCCTCAAATACAAATTTTAAGACTACTGATATCTTGACAAAGTAACAGGTCCTGGAAATACACTGGTTTGATTGTATGTGCTTACGGGTATGTTAACATCACGAGGACTTGCAAAGTAAAAAACCTTTTGTGGACTGTACCTATTGAATAGCCTTAGAATATCCTTAATGAGCTCTGAAGATCATTCAGAGGTAGTTTGTTTTTTTTTTTTGGTGGAGGGGTGAGGGTAGGACATTGTAGTTTTCAATCTTTTTTAGCCAATCAAAAGTTAGGATTTCTAGCAGTAGACTCTAGCATGTGGGAATGTGAGCATTAAAAAAAAAAAACTGCTAAAATGTCAGATCAGTTCTTATTTGAAATCATGCATTCATTTTATTGTTTAGATTTATATGATTCTATCCCTTATAATTATGAACAAGGCATTTCTAAATACTGCCTTTCTGAATTATACCAATTGTTAGAAGAAATCACCATCTCTGATCCATTTAACGTATCTGATCCATTTAAATCTGGTGAGTCCTTCTGAGGTAAGCGTGACAATGGTAAAAAGATTCAAAGTCACACATTGCTTGCACATCATGTTTGTAACCAGAACAGAATAACTGTGTGGGAGATATTAGCTGTGTCCTGTATTTGTATGAGATGACCTACTTACTAAAACACTTGCGGAAAGTAAAAGCAGAGGTCAAGGGACAGAAAATCCTCTAATGACAGGTTTCCCAAAAAGTTGATGCGTAATTTGGAATATAAAAATCATTACTGCTATTGGAGAGGAAACTGCTGTAATGATATGCTTGAATGGTTTGATAAGAGCTGGAAATTCAAACAGACTCTCACTCAGGGAGTTGGGCTGGTAGAGTTGAACTCTTCGGGAAGATGTCAGGATCACAAGGAAATCTCTTCATTTTCAAGTCTCAGCACGTGTTTGCTTTTGAAGCAGACCGTCAAGACCCAGGTGGGGATGCTCTGAGTTGTCTGCCTTACTCTCAGTCCAAGTTCAGGTACTTCTTCAGCCCTCATGGGGGTTGGGGGTGGAGCAGTGAGCAATGAGGAGAGGAAGTCACTGAAAAGAATAGGGTTGAAACTGTGGAATGTACATTTGGTGATCTTTTTTCCTTTTCTCAATATTGCAGATTTTTACAAATGTGTCTATATTGTTTGTAAAGATTATATTTTTTAATGTTTTAAATATTACAAAATGCATTCAGAAGAGCATCAGAATTCAACATGGATCCTCTGACTTGACTTGGTGGGTGGTCTCCTCCCCAGTTTACAATCATTTGGGAAGGCCAGGGAGCAGCTGTGAGCACTGTGTTGGATTTTTAACTTCCTCATAAATTAATGGCAAAAGGAAGACAAATAACATATTTGATTCCTTTCTGAAAGCAATTACAGCTCTGCAGATATAATGTCTCAAGAAGAGAAAATGGGTCAGAGTCAATCCTGGTTAACCTTGGAAAGCTTGTTGGAAAGTTATAAAGGAGGTTAAAAATAATTTTAGAACTTGCATGTGTTGTTTCTGATCTTTTTGTTCCTGTAAAATGGATCCTCCTTAGAAACGTGAAGGAAGTAAGATTTAGAGACAAGATTGGAAATCTTGTCCAAGGCCACCCAGCTAGAAAGTACTGAAGAAAGATTTGAAACTGTCTTCCTGGCTTTAAACTTGATCTCTGAACAAGCAAGTGATAACAACACAGCTAACTAAAAAGCCTTTCTCCTGGAGAGTGTTTCTAGCACTTAGATATTCACATGCCACTGCCATAATTCTTACTGTGTTTATCACTTGTGTGATGAGCTCCTTAATATTTTTCTGTATTTGCATTCAAATCACTTTTTAAACTTAAGTTTTAGAAAATTTCGTATCACTGCTATAAATGGAAAACGATTGTCTCTTGCAATAAATAGAAGACAAACTTAATGATAATGAAGGAAAAGTAAGATTCAATTCTAAGTATATACTGCTATCTTTGAAACCTCTGAGCCTGAACCTGTTTGGGTTGTTGAAAAGGAAGATTAGCTTTAAAGAGATGAACATCCTAGTAGCCAACTCATAAATTCTCCTGAGCAAGAATGGAAAGGAATTAAAAAATAGACAATTTTTTCATTCCAAGTGAGTCCTTGTTATTTAATGTAGGATTGGCATGCCACCTAAAATCATCTCCCACCCCATCTAGCACCACTGGGTCCCACCAGTGTTGTGTTCTATGTACTTGGAGAATATCATCCCAGGCCCCCCATCTGCTTCTCCACTGCTGTGCTTTCAAATATGTGCCTCCCTTAGCCTAGAATTCTCTCCTTATAATTAGTCCACCTGGCGACTGTATACATCCTTCAAGACTCAGGTTAAATGGGATCAGTATAAAACTTCTGACGGGAAGAGTGAAGCACGGCCCTTCCTTTTCCACAACATTCTGTCTGCTCCTAATTGGTCCCCTTACTACTTGGTGCTTAGTAAGCCATTTTCTACATGTCTATACACAATAGGCTGGTGCTATCTTGTTCTTTGAAGCCTGGCACAGGCTGGTGTAGGAGTGACCCTGCCACAGGCAGATTGGCTATGAAACACACCTCCTCTCTTGCCTCTGCCCATCTCGTGATGAGTCCATAGGGTCCCCCCATGTCCCAATCACAGTCATTGCCATAATTGCATTGTCCACAGATACTTCCCTGTTAAAACATTTCCTATGGTTCTTCCCCTTTTGTTGGTGTCATACAGGCATGAAGATTTGACCCAAGGGTTGGTTTGTTTGGTTCTTTTTGCTTTTATTGTTCCTATTGTGATGTGTCAATCAATGGGCGAACCAGCTACTTAATCAAATTGAGAACAGATGTCTCACCCTTTGTATTTCTAGACTCTTATTATAGTAGGCATTTCACAAAGTCAAGTTCCTAACTAGGAAAGCCATTCATTAGATGAAGAAGATGGGAAAATCTGGTGATGAAACTTCATAATTAGTATCTAAACCTTCGATTACTATTATTCAAACTGTGAAGCAGTGGTGGTGATGGTGGTGTAGGCAGTGGTGGGAACTCAGCCTGAGTCTAATGAGGATCTCAGGTGAGTTTGGGCAGGTATGCAGAATGCATGCAGTTAATTTCTTTTGGTTTGATGGGAACAGCCAAGATCTGGCTCAAATGTTGGTATCTGGACTCATGGGAGTAGAATGGGACTTACAGACATTATTCTTCTGAGCACTGGTGTGCCAGAGCCTGCTCTGTGACTTGGGTAATCTGATGAGGCACTGACTGGAGAAGGGAGAATTTGCTCCACTTCTGGGTACAATGAAACCTCGCTTCAGCCCAGTGAAGTCTACAGAAAACGAAAAGTCCTATAAATCTCCAGGGAAATACTGCTCTTCAGGTTCAGCACCATGAGGGTAGACATTATTCACAACTGCCAGTACCAAATAATAAGGTAGTTTGTGAGGTCCTCAGGACAGTTTACTCTGTCCCTTGGTGAGTTCCTCCATTAGCCTGACTTCAGACGTCACTGGTCTGCTGAAAACTCTCTACACATCAACCTTGTCTGTCTAATTGCCTATTTGACATCTCCATCCTCATAGCTTGTAGATGTTGTGGGCTGTGTGTCCGAAGAGAACTCACAAGTCCTACCCCCAAGCTTGCTTCTCCCCAGATCCATTAATCAACTTAGCAGTTCAAACCACAAACTTGAGTGTCACTTTGAACATTTTTTTTCTCTTTCTCACTCTCTTTTGCAATCCCATAATAAGTGCAGTCAAACTACTTCTGAAACAGTTCCTGAATTTTCCTCTTCACCTACCATCTCCTCTCGCTTGGGTGTGCCATGTTGCTCGTTTCTCTACAATCCAAGTTCCTGATAGTCAGAATCATCTTTTTTTAAGACAATTTTATTTTACTTGAATGCAGGAACACGACTGCTTAGCCCCAGTGTCAAGCACAGTGATGAGGTTCATAGTAGGATATAAATTTATATAACTGAATGAATGAATGTGGAGGTTGGGGAGTTCTGAGGTTGGGAGGCTGAGATGCTGTTATGTGGGTGAGGGTAAGTGATGATGAAAATAGTATTATCTTTAGTAAGCAGAGGCTGGTGAGAACTAGGGGAAATTGTGTAATTTATTTTACAGATAGAGAACCAGTCTCGGTGGTTAGGAGATTTGCCCAAGGTCACAAGATCATTGGAATCAGTGTGAGGATTAAAATTTGGCTCAACTGATTCTGCAACTCTTTCCAATATATACGTGCGTCTTAGCAGAGATGTAGAAAAGGGCAATATATGCACTGTGCAAAGAGGAAAGGACTCTGCGGGCTGGATCCAGAGTGGGAGGCCTGTAAGTTAAACAAGGAATGCCCCTTAATGAAAGATGGAGGCAGAGAAGCCTCCATCAGTCACTGACTGAGCAATGTTTGGGTCAACTGCATATTGCATGTGCGACAGCAATACCAATAGTGTATATTATACGGCCTAGGTGTGTTGAGGGCTATACCCTCTGGTTTGTGTAATTCCATCCTGTGACATTCACACGAGGAAGATGTGTAGTGATGCATTTCTTGCAATCCATTCCCAATGATAAGCAAAACTAAATGACGCATGACTGTATTTTGAGCTCTTGTCCCTCAGCTTATACTGCCCTTCATCTGCCTCATCCACTGAAATCTCTTCTTTTATGAGTCCTTCAATGAGGGATCAGATAAATGCAGTATGGCTAATTTAATAGGCAAGAATTGT